GATTTTGCAGAGACATGTAACAAGATCAATGAAATCTCAAGGTGGACAAAAATGTCTAAGTAATACATAATAAAATATTTAATATTTGTTCAGAGTGGGGGTATTCATCTGATTAATCCATGGAATAACCGACACACCTAATCTCTTAACCCAGATAGAAATATCAGCACTGTCGATTGCACCTATAATTGAGGTGATGTCTGCCATGTACTTTTGTCAGTTTTTCAATTTTTTTTATTGATGATCACTTTGTTGGTGCAACTAAATAAATAAATAAATTAAAACTATATATAAAAATAAAAGTAGTGCCAACCCTAGCAAATTTCTCATTTCGTCCCAATTAACCGCAATTTTCGGGTAAATAGGGATTACACCTAGTTTTGCATTTTTTGCTTAAACTGGAATGTTAATTGCATAATTTTAAATTAGACAACAAAGATGCCCCCAAGACTCAATCATTTTGATCTTGATATAGCATTATATACATCAACAACTACCATAAAATTGCTCATAAAGTTGGAATTTGTCCCTAATCGCCCCATTTTACGGTACCATCTTTTACGCATTATTTTAAAAAAATATTAGCGTTTTGCACTCTTCTATATTCTCTATAAGCGTGAGAAATTTCATACTCGTCCGGCCGTGCAATTTTCGTAAAAAGGGGTACAGAGTTTTTATTTCACGTATTAATATATACTAGGTATAATAAAATTAAATAATTACATGACATTTGCGTTTTAACGTTTATTCTGTACCATATTGATTCCAAAACGAATTTTTAGTTTTTATGTTTTATACAATTTTAAGTATATCCGAATTGTGAATAAAAACTTGTTGCTGGTATGTTGTCGACGTGGTTTTCGGTCGATCAAAGCTTAAACGGGTACGACGCCGGAGACGGTCTTGGTGACGTCGTCTAGAATTGGCACGGCGTAAGCAGCAGCCGCCAAGGCCGCAACCATAACTAGGACCTGAGCAATTACCAGATTAATCATATCAATATTAGCGAAGATACTTTATTTTCTATTCTTTAGATGAATGGACGAGCTCACAGCGCACCTGGTGTTAAGTGGTTACTGCAGCCCATAGACATCTGCAACGTAAATGCGCCACCCACCTTGAGATATAAGTTCTAAGGTCTCAAGTATAGTTACGGTTGCCCCGTTAGTGAGTTAGTAGATTTATCAGGTATGAATGTCTCCTGCACTCAGGCATAATGTCCAATCAAGACGATTATAAAGTTGTAATTAGCGACATTTTTTAATTTCACATAACTAAAAATTAACAATTTCTGACTTTGCTAAAAATCGTAATAAAAATTCTCAAAACATAAGTTTTTTTTTTCGATTTGCCTATTTACCTATCTTTTCTTATTGCTATTAGATGAGCTCATGGCCCACCTGGTGTTAAGTGGTCACCGGAGCCTTTAGACATCAACAATGTAAATACCGTCCACCTTAAGATATAACGGCTGCCCCGCCCTTCAAACCGAAACGCATTACTGCTTCACGGCAGCAATTAGGCAGGGTAGTGGTACCTACCTACCCGTGCGGACTCACAAGATGTCCTACCAAGAGTAATTACGCAAATTATTTTCGCGGGTTGTTTGTTTCGCGGTGAAGATTTCTTAAGTACGTGCATTACAAAAATTGGTACCTGCCTGCGGGATTCGAACACCGGCACTGTCGCATGTCGCATCGCTCGATACGAACGCACCGGGCGTCTTATCCCGCAGGCCACGGCGATTTACAAAGCAGTGCGCGACATAACAAGAAAAGTGTGTTTTTATTGTCACATACCAAAAAACCTTTAAGCGCTTTTTTATATATTGAGTTATCGAAACTTTGTAAGCGCGTTAAACAAAGACTGTCAGCTGTTCTGTTTTTAATATGATCTTGTTAATTATTATTTTGTATAACACAGACTCTATCGACATCCCGTATTTAAATAATGAAAATAAATACGCACCAACAATACTCTCATATTCCTTTGGCTTTTAACTTCGGTTAAATGTTGAAAATATAAAGGACGTCCTGCTTATATACCAAGAACGCATAGAGCAATGTCCTTCGTAATGTCAACAATAATAATAACTGTGTTTGAACAACGCAGTTGAATTATTTAGCAACTGTAATAATAAGAGATAAAACAATAACCGTAAATGATTGTGATGTCAATGTAATATACATTTTTTCTTTTTTTTATTGCTTTGATGGGTGAACGAGCTCACAGCCCACCTGGTTACTGGAGCCCATAGACATCTATCTACAAGGCAAATGCCGCCACCCACCTTGAGATATGAGCGCTAAGGTCTAAGAAAGTATACTTAGTTCAAACCGAAACGCATTACTGCTTCACGGCAGAAATAGGCGAGGTGGGTGGTACCTACCCGTGCAGACTCACAAGAGGTCCTACCACCACGTCCTTTTACCATCCACGTTATAGTCCGCACCGGAGTCGTTTTAGGATACCAGCTGGTATCCCATTATTTTCGACTGGATCTATGGTAAACAAAATCACGAGCAATAAATTAGTTGTAGAAAATATTAATGCCCGTGCTATTCGCAATTCACTTGCTACATCGCAAGGGCAAGTTTCAAACAATACCGCCACAGAACTCGTAAAGCACTTGTTGTTAATTATTTATCTCTTGTGGCATGTACTGTTTTGTTAACATTGAATATTGAATAATATTTTGCCGAACAACAATAACCTTGCCGCCTGGTGATAAGTGGTTGAAGAAACCCATAGATATGATATTTACTGGTAGTAGGACCTCTCGTGAGTTCGCACGGGTAGGTACCACCGCCCGCTTATTTCTGCCGTGAAGCAGTAATGCGTTTCGGTTTGAAGGGTGGGGCAGCCGTTTTAACTATACTTTAGACCTTAGAACTTATATCTCAAGGTGGGTGGCGCATTTACGTTGTAGATGTCTATGGGCTCCAGTATCCACTTAACACCAGGTGGGCTGTGAGCTAGTCCATCGCCTGGTTACGCTGGGTTGCCAAAAAAGGTAGGGGAAAAAAAACCAGATATTAGAGCACAGGCATTTTGCTACATAAAAAAAACGAATGTTGTCATAAAATATATCTTGGTTTAAAGATTGTTCGAACTTATTATGACGATTGCTAGTTGTTACATAGCAAATAGTGTTGTTAATACTAAAGTTTCTTTGTCTGTTTGCTACGTTGGTTTTGGTTGGGACTTGGGAATAATTGAGGCCTATAAAATCAAAGGCAGCTAAATCCAAGTCTGTCAAATATTCAGGTAAACTACAAAAATCGGCGCTAAACACGTCATTACGGATCCTCCCGATCCATCGAAGTAGGGCTCTTGCTAGGGCAAGTGTTGGCAACACTCCCGGTTTGAGAAGCTGAAATAACTTTGTTCGGATAGCTACGATATTCTTTATTTTAAAGCAGATTTATAAAGTATCAGAATATTACTAATAATCTGAAATTTAAATGATAAAACTTCGTTTATTAGTACTTAGTACAGAGTAAAAATAATTTTTTTGAACTGATTTTGTTAGAGATTTAGCTGCATTTGTTATAACATGAAAACACTAAAGCGTGTCCAACTAACTAAACAAGATAGCGCCATTGTTAATCTATTTTACGAGATTAAGGCGTTTAGCTGCCTTTGATTTTATAGGCCTCAATTGCGTTTGTATCCCGCGTTTGTATGTTTGTATGTTTGTATATGTATGTGTGTGAATGACGATATGAGAGAGAGGAGTGAGTGTTGAGATGACGGCTGATAGAAGAGAATGGAAGAGAAAAATTAGCTGTGCCGACCCCACCTAGTGGGATAAGGTGGAGAAAAAGAAGAAGAATTGCGTTTGTATCCCGTCCATGATCAAGATGTTAATATGAATAACTTTCATGCTTTAATGTTTGTGGCAACGTTCTGGGGGCTGTCCGTGCGATTCCAATGATTCCAGAGGCCCGGCCGGAATTACCGCTATAACCGCGATAATAATGAAAATCAGTGTGACAGCAATTTAATAATAATAAATTAAATACATAATATCTGGCCATTTTTGATAAATTAAATTTATTATATTAATCCCATAGATAATACACTGATTAAATAATCGATTTGAGATAACTTTTATTTAGAAACTGGACTCATACGTGTAAAATCAGGATATTCTTTGCACTAAATTAACTTTTTTAATAACATTAATGATTATGTACTTACAAAAAGTAGGTATACAAGATTATTTTTTTCTGTATAAGATGATGATAGCCAAATAAAATAAACTAGAGGTCCCGCAGTAGTCGAAATTCGACTATAATTAATTGAAATTGTAAGTTTGTACACTATTATGATTGTATTTTATACTTCTATAATGACAAATTTCGCCAAGACTACACTATAAAAATATTAACAAAGACAAACAATATATAATGTATTCTCAATTTGACAACAGACGTCAAGAACAAAAGTTTGACAATAAATAGTATGCATGCGTGTGTGAGTCAAATACATGGTATGTAGTGTGTGTAATGTTTTCTTTATTGATTTAGTGTATCTTTTATGCATTATTTAAAAAAAATATTAGCATTGTGCACTTCTTCTCTGTATTCTCTATAAGTGTGGAAAATTTCATACTCCTCCGTCCGCGCAATTTTCGTAAAAAGGGATACAAAGTTTTTGCTTCACGTATTAATATATAGATTACTTCATTTTCGTTTTATTTCTTGATGATTGATGTTTTGGGTGTCAGCGCGGTCTGAAGTTTTCTGAGGGTATTTGGATAGTCATCCGTTTGTTGTCGTAGCGAAATAGATGACTATATCGTGGTTTCCGGGCCAATTTCCTCCTCTTTTTATTTTTATTTATTGCCTTCGTAGGCAGACGAGCATACGGCCCATCTGATGGTAAGAAGTTATCGTTGCTCATGGATGTCAGCAATGCGGGGACGAGAACCCCTGCACCCAACATCCCGAGTTAGTGGAAATACACTCCTACGAAGTTTGAATATGTCATGATAACAACTGGATTTTTTTTATTGACCTTGTAGGCAGACGAGCATACGGCCCACCTGATGGTGAGTGGTTACCGTAGCCCATGGACTTCAGTAATGCCAGGGGCAGAGCCAAGCCGCTGCCTACCGCTTAATACTCTCCACAAGCCTCGTTTGAAGAAGGACATGTCATAGCGCTCGGGAAACATCGTGGAGGGGAGCTCATTCCAAAGCCGGATGGTACGTGGCAAAAAAGATCTCTGGAAACGCACTGTGGACGAACGCAGCATATCTCTCTCTTCCAATCAATCGCCCATTGCTGAGCATGGAGCCCACATTTGTGGGCGTGGCTTCGAATCCCACTTCTGACACCATATGAAGTCGCAGGATGGCCGCGTTGTAGCGTGTAGATATATTTTAGAGTAAAAAGACAAGAGCTCAGTGTGACTTGTTTAATGGCGGATGCGCAGACCGGCAGTGCTGCCAATATAAATACATTTTTTACCTAACATTGATTCAACAACATTTCATTCATATCATGATTCAATTAACATTCTGTTTTTAAATACAAGGTCAAACAATTCTATCTCTCATCAACCGAATGATCATTGTTATATACTCTTCGTATACACTGTGTTACTTATAATATTTTGTATTCAAGTTTAATAATATTGGCAATGTGTATGTGCATTACTATAATTCTCATGTTGTATTTGTTATTTTAGCTGTTCTACACACACTCACTCATCACTTTTAATTATTATTCTCATAATCCTCTCGCAGGTCTGCTAAAAGAGATTTCTTAAAGAAATAAGCAGTGCCTTTATACATAATTATCCTATTACTCTGTACTGTGTTCTTTTTTGTGTGTACATAAATAAATAAATTGACGCGCTCGCCTGAGATATTTTCGTTTGATCTGTAGCTCATTCTTGTATCCAGGTCCTCAGACGCTTGATCACTCCACATTTTCTTACTCCCGCCCTTTTACTCGTCACCATGAGCCTCTCCACGCCTCAGGTTTATTTAACTAGTTTCAAAAATCTAAAGTAAAAAAAAGAACAACGATTTGGACTAAAAATCGAACCCGCAAAATAAATAAAAAAGTCTAGTCTATAAGCTCTATTATGACAAGTATTTATATAATCGCCGTCAGTTCTGTCTTGTGTCATTTAGCGGAATGAAACTCACGGACCGACACGGGAGGAAAGCCCTCCTTATTTATTTAGGTAAGTGAGATATCTAGCCGAGATATTTGTGCCGTCTACTATAGACAGCTTTTTACATATATCAACATCATCAGCCTAGTCGTCCACTGCTGGACATATGCCTCTCCCAATCCTGTATAACTTCTACATATATGCCCTATATTAATCTATAGCATTTTTCTTACATAAACAGATACTCTAGTTCTGCATTTAGCTTCTAGTCCTATGCTATAGACCAAGTTTTCCCCAACTTATTTTGTGTACAGCCCACTTTAAGAATAAATTATTTTTTAGCGCCCCTATTTTTTCACCTACCTAAAAACCACTATAGCGAGTGCTTAGTAGATGTCGAAGAGTTCATCTAGATGACATTAGAAATCGCCTTCTAATCCTCTACACAACGCCCCATTTCTTTTCTGGGTCTCTTAGGGGGGCGCCCTTTACGCCTGCATCGCTCACAAGGGGGCGTTATCGCCCACTCTGGGAAACGCTGCTATAGACACAGTCTGTAGGTACTGATTACGGGCTGTTGCCGTGAAAGCTCGAACTGTAGCCAGCGGAAAGTCCTAAGCTACTGGTGGTAGAATCTCTTGTGAGTCCGCGCGGGTAGGTACCACCACCCTACCTATTTCTGCCGTGAAGCAGTAATGCGTTTCGGTTTGAAGGGTGGGGCAGCCGCTGTAACTATACTTGAGACCTTAGAACTTATATCTCAAGGTGGGTGGCGTATTTACGTTGTAGATGTCTATGGGCTGCAGTAACCGCTTAACACCAATTGGGCTGTGAGCTCGTCCACCCAACTAAGCAATAAAAAAAAATCTACTGTTTCGCTTTAGCTATCCATAAGTAATGGCAAGATCATCGTCGGGCTCGTGGCGTGGAGGGGCGCAGCCCAACATCATAGACCTAGATAGGTACATGCGAGCCGGGGTCCGACCTGCAGATGATGTGTCTGACGCACAAGAAAGGTCAGTTACTCTGAATCTTCTTGTTGTCCTTATCACACATTTCGTGAGGTCGACGCAAGATGTCTTAAGCCTTGTTCGGACTAGGCGAGTATTTTAGTCGAGTACTGAGTAATTTAGAAGCTAAATGTGTTTGAACACCAAAAATTTAGTCGAGTAGGTTAGTAAATAATTTAGTCAAGTTCATCCATTTTGTTCTATTTTTTCGGGCGAGTAGCGCCTCCCACCACGCGTCCTTGCTCACTGGCTCACTGACTCAACAAGTCCGAACCCGTTGATTAGTCGAGTTCATTAGTGGCACTTCTCAAATGGGTATCTTTGCGCTGAATTTGAGAGTGTATTTTCGTTAACAGAAAATTCACACAACTTTCGGACATTCTCAAACTATCGAAGTATTCTTTGGGATCTCTTCCAATGCTAATTCCTTCAGAAGACATTTCGTAGCTCCTAGTTTATCTCTTCTATAGTAAGTGAGCAGGGACGCGTGGTGGGAGGCGCTACTCGCCCGAAAAATTAGAACAAAATGGATTGACTTGACTAAATTATTTACTAACCTACCCGACTAAATTTTTGGTGTTCAAACACATTTAGCTACTAAATTACTCGGTACTCGACTAAAATACTCGCCTAGTCCGAACAAGGCTTTATCGTGCTTAGAAATTTGGGATACTTATTACAACCGCCAGTCTAACGTCAACCCTCCTTCGGAATGCTATCGTTGGCATTAGATATTAACCAAAAGAGGTTCCTTATTCGCTTTTTACGACATTTGAGGGTCGTTCAAATTCTAATTCGGGAACCGCAAGTATTTCTGTATCTATGATTTATGAAATGTTTGTTAATGGTACTTTAATAATTGCAATTTAATTCAATGAATAGGCAAAAAATAATCGCAGTGTGGCTGGGCGGCGATTGTGCGAAGATTTTCCACTGACCGAGTGATGTAGGCTGGTGTGTGCAAATTCATCTTGTTAATATCGTTGGATTACCCTCTATTATATTATTATTACTAAGATTATCATTTAGTGTTGGTGTGCAATAGATTTTTTTAAGGGATTTTATGACCTGGTAACTAAGGCCTTTAAGTCATGTCTTATTTTAATTTTTATTCATATTTTTATGAAAAATTATAATATGGAATGAAATGAAATGAAGTTGATTAATTTGAAACATATAATCAACTGGGATGTAATTAAATGAGATGATATGGTATGGGATGAATCATCTCAGTAAAATGGTGGACATTTACTGAGATTTTTTCAGTGGACTTTTTAGAGGATTCCGAGAAGTTACGTCCAGCGGCTTTGTTTCATTTTCCCACATTTGTGCACTTTCACAGATATTAAACAATCAATTAAACCACCATTATTACACATTTAAACTCGAAGAAACACTAAATAGACAAAATAAAACAAATCACACAACCTCACTCCTCGCGTTCCCGCCAAAAAGTCGTGTGTAATAGAGTTTGCTCTACTAAGGTTCTTGTTACCTTTTAAGCTTCGTATACCTTGCGACTTATAAGATCTTGAGAATACAAGCGGTTTATGATTTGTTAATGCAGACGTAATTAGCTTATACAAATTTAAAATCAACTGTAATTAGTTTTCATAATTTAAATCACGTCTTTTTGACAAATTTTGTATTATATAAGTTTCGAAATCTTCCGCATACTCTTTCTGTGACTTTCAGATGACCAAAAACAGATTATATGTCGTGGAACAAAGTAACAGGAGATAATAGGAGAATTTTAGATGTTAACTTATACCTCATCTAACATACCTACATATTATTATTTTTTGTATTAAGCCATATTACAACATATTACATACAAGCCGTATTAAGGCAATGCCGCGAATGGAACAATATTTTTTTTTATTGCTTAGATGGGTGGACGAGCTCACAGCCCACCTGGTGTTAAGTGGTTACTGGAGCCCATAGACATCCACAACGTAAATGCGCCACCCACCCTGAGATATAAGTTCTAAGGTCTCAAGTATAGTTACAACGGCTGCCCCATCCTTCAAACCGAAACGCATTACTGCTTCACGGCAGAAATAGGCAGGGTGGTGGTACACACCCGCGCGGACTCACAAGAGGTCCTACCACCAGTAAGGTAATAATAATATATCAGTTTTGGTTCCTTAGACCTTACTCAGTTACCTGGATAGCTGTGGTAGTTCTAGAGCTAATACATGCAATCAGAACTCTGACCAGTGATGGGATGAGTGCTTTTATTAGATCAAAACCAACCGACGGAGGGCCTCGCGTCCGAAGTCGTTAATTTTGAATCTGGATAACTTTTGCGACTCTGTTTCTATAATCTGACGAAGCATGTTGCGGATAATAATATCGACGCTTGAAAGGCAAACATGACTAAGCGACAATAACTGCTTTGTACATAAATGATAGGCAATAACCATATTCGATGCGCAAAAAAAATATATTTCTAGGTCTATTAAAATAATTTCAATCCTACAGCTACTAGCTAGATTCTACTACAGCTAGATTCGTTAAAATAGAATTTTTTTCAGGTATTTCAACTTTAGATTAGTCTACTGTAAAGTTCACGCATTGTCGCTTAGTCACGTTTGCCTTTCAAGCGTCGATATGTACTTTTAGGTTATTAAACTGCCTTGCATTTTTTTGCTAGCGATCGACTGATCGTGGACGCCGGCGGTCTGAGCAGAGAACTAAGGCGGTCCAGCAGTGACAGTTCAAGGGAGCATACCGCACGCACCCAGTGCAAGAGGTACTCGCATGACTCCGGACTCTCTGACGGCAGCTACGTCAAGAGAAGACACAGAGCACACAGGTACAGAATACATTTGACGGAATGGCCAAGTAACTTGTCTGATAGCACGTTTGAACTAAATTCTTTTTTCTTTTTATTGCCCTATAGGCAGACGAGCATACGGCCCACCTGATGGTGAGTGGTTACCGTCGCTCATGGACGTCAGCAATGCCAGGGGCAGAGCCAAGCCGCTGCCTACCGTTTAATACTCTCCACAAGCCTCGTTTGAAGAAGGACATGTCATAGCGCTCGGGTAACACCGTGGAGGGGAGCTCATTCCATATGGTACGTGGCAAAAAAGATCTCTGGAAACGCACTGTGGATGACCGCAGGGACTCCAGGTAGTATGGATGAACTCTACTCCGGTGGCGGGCGGTGCGATGGTAAAAACGAGATGTCGGTATCATCTCGAGCTCATGTTTAAATAGATGTTTTTTCTAATAGTCTCGCAACTTACAGGAAAAATTTGTCGCGGATCATTTCCCAATTAAATATAAATTAATCTTAAGCTATCAATCAAATGTAATCAAATCTTAGTTGTATAATTTTTTATTTATTTTTGTTATTAACGCACTGTCGATTGCACCTATAATTGAGGTGACATCTGCCATGTACTTTTGTCAATTGTTCGATGTTTTGCATCGATGATCACTTTGTTGGTGCAACTTAATAAATAAATAAATAAACGGAATAGCCAAGTACCTCGTCTTAAAACACATTTGAAATTTCTATTTTAATAAGCAGTATTACCGCTACTTTTTTTTCCCTACCTATGCTGATAGCCATGAGAGGCTATTTCAGCTTCGCCCTAACATGTAGGTGAGCTCACGGGGCTCAAACCGGAGTGTGGCTAACACTGACCCTAGCAAGAGCGGTGCTTCGCAGAATCTACCACTGGATCGGAAACGCGACCCACTGAGAAGATCCGGCGAGAAACTCAGTGGGCTGTGTCTACTCGTATGGGTTAATTCGCTCGTCGAGCCCTTCGTCGCAAGCGATGGGTTCGACGAGGATAGTGACTGGTGCTTGTGTTGCCTAAAAGCACCGTTAATGGATCAGGAGGATCCGTAATGACGTGCTTTGGGTGGTGCTAGTAAGGTTCGGTATAAGAAGAAGCAGTTGTGGGTTTTGTCTAAAACTGGGATATTTTGTTGTGGAATTACGACTCTGCTGACTCTGAAAGACGACGAGTCTGCTCGTGTTGACAGACGTCATCCCGCCTCGGACGTGTTGATGAAGAGGCAGCAGCAGCCGTTGAAAGAAGACAGCTCGATCCGGGACTTCAGGGTCGTCTGCGAGAAAGCGCTACTGGAGCAGCAGAAGCAATTGGCGCGCGTCACTCAGCTGTGCGAGAAACTGACTGAGAGACAGGCGACCGAAATAAAGTGTGACAGGACGGTCGTCAGGGAGTCTTCGGACAGCAGCGAGCTGTCTTCGACCAGTCGCAGTACCGGGGACGAGAGGCGAAAGGATCATAATCGCGTGAGTGGAATTTAGTGTTTAGGTTATTATTATGAGTACTAAAGGGGTCTTGACTTGGCTACTGCCGGCCAATTTAAACAGGTCTTCAGATCTTTAGAGGAGAAAAGAAGAGAAGGGGTAAGAGAAGAAAACGAGTTCCACGGTACCTAAAGGAAAAATATCGCGTAAAATCAAACCCGGAAAATTTTTAATTTCCGTATTTACTAGCGGTATTCTACCGTGGGGCAGTAATGCGTTTCGGTTTGACGGGTGGGGCAGCAATTGTACCGTAAAAGTTGAAACTTAGAACTCATGTCTCAAGGTGGGTGGACGCATTTACGTTGTAGATATCTATGGGCTCCAGTAACCACTTAAAACTAGGTCCGTCCAGGACTGTCCACTCAAGTAAGCAATAAAAAAGAGGTGGCCTTACATGAAATTAGTATTCCGGCATCGAAAGAATTTCTTTTACGCTCTGTACAAGTTACTCACTCCTTCGCGGCATTGTAAACGCTTATAGCTAAAACTGTTTGGAAAGCGGATGGTGGAAGGTAGTATCACGCATCCGTTTGGACTGTTCTCGAAGGCTATCGAAGGCTCTTTCAATTTTAAACATTAATTTTAAAAATAAGTGAACTTCATTTATTTACAGACGCAGAAATGCAAAACCTACAAAATTATAATGAACAAACTGGACGAGTTGAACCGAGTCTTCGTGCAAAGAGGACGCTCGCCTCCCGCGCGCCCTCCCCTCTGCCCTGTCAACTTCACAGACAAGGTGGTCACGACCGACGTTGACAGGTCTGAAGGCTTGCAGGTTCGTGACATTACTTATAGGTTGCGAGTATAGAGAGCAGAAGTAAGGAGAATCATCTCAGTGTATTAAAATGTGTCAGATAAAAGGGAGCCAATTAAGATGGCGCCACAGTAGCAAGGGGAAAGGTTCAAAAAATAACGCAACATAAACTAGCACAAATTCACTCTGCTTAAAACAGCTGTATTCATATCATTTCCATTTCCTACACTAGCGCTATTTCGGTGAGTCTTCCATCAATAGCTTGCTGTTTACAAGTGGACACTTTTTCTATTTGTGCCGTATACAAGATGGTGCTCCTTGCCTTTACCCATCATAGTTGGGAGGTATTATCACCGTCCTGCATATTAACATTGTATTAGCACTTAGAAAACTAAAAACACTTTAAAATTCTCAATTCGCTTCTTCCGCTTCGCTTCAGGTGATCCGTTCGCTGTTTCGCTTCGAGTAGTTCCGATTACTAACTGACTGCGTGCCATCTCTGCAACGCTTTTATAGCCGATACCACATCCCTAGAATTATCGAGAATATTCCACAAATTTCGAGTATCGTGTTTCCGCTATCTGGCAATAGATGGCGTTGTACTCGAGCGTCCTAGGCGCTACTAGATCCTTCGATATTCGATCGACTATTCGGCGTATATATAGCGTAACGTTACGTTATATATGCTTTACTTGTTCTGAAATTAGTTTGTATTTCCAGAAACCGCAAATAATGAACCAGACCATTTTGAATAAAACCGGGCGGTGTTCTCCGTACGGGCGGGAACATGTCGTGATGCGTTCAATGACACAAGCGTACGCTGTGGACATAGCGCCAAAAGAAGTTTCCAAATTAAACGGAGAAAGTCCTAACGTATTAATTGAAAGGTTATAATAATCTGTTCTTTTTTTTTTTTACTGCTTAGGGGGGTGGAAGAGCTCACAGCCCACCTGCTGTTAAGAAATAGGAAGGACAGTGGTACCTCTCCATATGGCCTTACGCGAAAAAACTCTGCTATACAATAAAAGCTTCTTATTGGCGTTCTCCTAAACCGCGTTTTTACTATTTGCGGCTTAAAAAATGCGACCCAATTCCTATATTCGCGGCTAAAGCTTTCTTTATTCGCCGATCTAATCTGTACATCGGTACATTTTATTAATGTGTGTGTACGCTGTAGATGTCTATGGGCTCCAATAATCACTTAACACCAGGTGGGCTGTGAGCTCGTCCACATTTATCTTTAATTTTATTAGTGTTAGCACATTCTATGAATGTTGTGTTCTCCTGTAATTTAGGGAGTACATATAAAAGTAATTTTATTGTGTACATATTTTTGTTGAAAATCATAGTCATTATATTAATATTCATAATTTCTAGTGTGGTTAAATCTGGACAGAGTTCTCTTGGATCAAGAAACGGTAACTGCGACCCGCGATGCGGTTTCGATCTCAACGACCCAGTGCATGTTAGTGATCAAAACTATACAGACTAGTTATTCGTTAGGATCCCGCCAAGGGAAGATATTTGTATGGTAAATATAAATGTCTTTTCCAGGGTTATGGATGTACATTAAATATATGTATGTGTATAATAAAAAACTTACATTTATTTCCGTTATCCGGTACCTGTAACACAAGTTCTTTACGAACTTATCACGGGACCAGTTAACGTGGCGTGATTGTTAGTAAATATTTATTATTTATTTATTTATTGAGTTATTTATCTGTCAATTCAGATAGACATTCGTGTATAGAGGGTAGAAGTAAGAAGCGCCATCTTGTACAGGGGACAAGTTGAAATAGTATACACGTGTAAACAGCAAGTTATTGTTGGAAGATTCACCGGAATAGCGCTAGTGTAGGAAGTGGAAATGATATGAATATAGTAATTTTATACAGAGCAAAGACCAAGTTAACCCAATTTTTTATGCAGTTGGAACAGCGCCCCTAGCGGCAAACGTACGCAAACGATCCCATTCCATACCAATATGAGCTAACTTTTACGATATCGAGAACGTTAAAAAACTCGAACTAAGCACAGTGAACGTGCAAGCGAGAGCGCGGAAAAAGCGATAGAGAGGCACGATCGGCCCAAGCGTTGGCTTGTGACACATTTATCTCTCTTCTCGCGTGACGTCAGAGCTGGCAGTTCAAATAGTTCTGCTACTGACGTAATCACGTTGGCGATTGCATGCAGCAGAGATGCGAATGTTGCGAAGGATGTGTGGAGTAACGAGAATTGATAGAATACGAAATGAATAGGTTAGAGCAGGGGATCCCAAACTTATTTTGTCTACTGCCCACTTTGAGAATAAAGAATTTTTTAGCGCCCCATTTTTTCAACTACTTAAAGACCACTATAGCGAGAGCTCAGTCGGTGTCTAAGAGTTCTCCTAGATGAAATTACAAATCACCTCCCAGGCTTCTACACAACCCCCTAATTTTTTTCTGGGTCTCTTACCGCCCCCCTTTAGGGCGGCAGCGCCCACTTTGGGAAAGGCTTGGTTAGAAGAAGTCTGAAAGTGGCACCTGTGACAGAGAAGCTGAGAAGTGCGCGTTTGGGATATTATGGACATGTGATGAGACGAAATGAAAATGACAACCTCATTTTAGTAAGAGAAAGTTAACTATGAATGTGGAAGGATATAGAGGACGAGTTAGACCTAAGAAGAAATGGATAGATTGTGTGAAAGACGATATGGGTTAGAGGGGAGTGAGCAAAGAAATGGTATATGAGAGAAGAGTATGGAAGGAGAAAACATGTTGCGTCAACCCCAGGTTACTGTGAGAAGGGCAGGATAATGACGATGATGATGACGTTATCACGTAAAACTATCGTCCTTAAACCGCTTTTACAGACTACCTGTATTATTATTTTTCAGTTATACTCACAAGCCAAGAGTCTTGGGACGAAATACACCCACACATTACCCGGAAGCGGCGTTCGTTGCGAGAATCCTGCTGATGTGAGCTCGCGTAGCATATCCCTGTGCGCCGTCTGCCGAGGATACTGGAAATCGTTCTGGAAATACTTCTCTACACAATTAAACGAGGGGCATTGTAAAAGTTTTTAAGTTTTGGCATAAAAAAAGATATATTAAATTGTTTTGTGAAATTATTTTTGTGGTTTCTGTGTAGTGAGCTTAAAAAACTATATTCTAGTTGTTTGATATAAGTCAAACCTTGTTGTAAGTAACCGGGTGTTGCCTGGGTACCACGTGGATTGAATTGATTCTGAGTTAATCAAAATGATGAGATTTTGAGTTCGCTCTAACATTGAAGCCGTCGTGGCCTAACGGCACAGATAACTCCCAACTGTGCCTAACGGATAAGACGTCCGGTGCATTCGTGTTGAGCGATGTACCGGTGTTCGAATCTCAGGCGGGTACCAATTTTTCTAATGAAATACGTACTCAACAAATGTTCACGATTGATTTCCACGGTGAAGGAATAACATCGTGTAATAAAAATTAAAGATGTGGTGTCGTGGGACACCAGGTAGGAACGAAGTTCCTTCGGCTAATGTAGAATCGACACAATTTGCAAAAAAGAAATGGTGCTCAATTTTATGTAGGTTTTCTTGGTTTTTCTCTTAAATTTTGCTGATTAGTTTTTATTTAAGTTCGGGAAAGTATCTAGGAAATTCAGTATTTTAGGAAATAATAAATTACGTAAAATAAAAAAAATAGTAATTCAAATTATCAATTAAAATAACAAAATATATCTCTTTATTTTTGGTTGACAACATAAAATTACATAGAAATAGAAATAATTACTAAATAGAGAGAGAAGGGATTAGAGAACGAAAAGAAAGAAGGAGAAAGAGAAAGGTATTATACACTACNAATAGTAATTCAAATTATCAATTAAAATAACAAAATATATCTCTTTATTTTTGGTTGACAACATAAAATTACATAGAAATAGAAATAATTACTAAATAGAGAGAGAAGGGATTAGAGAACGAAAAGAAAGAAGGAGAAAGAGAAAGGTATTATACACTACTCGCTTGTGTATGCGACTGTCGCGCCTGCGCACGTCTCAATTAACGGTTTTATTCCACGCACTTTTTTCCACGGATTTTTTCTTACGGTTTTACTATCACATTTTTTTCAGTTCGGTCGCGCAGCAAAACCCTATCCCCTCCAAGCCTGCCGTAAGGAACTTCTTTCCAAAAATGAAACCCCCAAATTATAATTTGCGTAATACTGGTGGTAGGACCTCTTGTGAGGCCGCGCGGGTGGGTATCACCGCCTTGCCTATTTCTGCCGTGAAGCATTAATGCGTTTCGGTTTGAAGGGTAGGGCAGCCATTGTAACTATACTTGAGGCTTTAGAATTTATGTCTCAAGGTGGGTGGCGCATTTACGTCGTAGATGTCTATGGGCTCCAGTAACCACTTAACAGGTGGGCTGTGAGCTCGTCCACCCACATAAGCAATAAAAAAAAAATGCATCGACGTTGTGATGTCTATGAACTTTGTTTACCACTTAACAGCCGTTGGCTGAGAGGTGTTCTGCTAAATTTAAAAAAAACTACCAGAGTCAAGTAGTACACCACATGTAGAGTGAAAATTACAACGTCGTTTGGAAAATTCTAAATCAAAACTTCTTTCATTGTCACAAAACTTCTAGCAGAAAAAAAAACAATGACATCGGAACAAAACACTTTCAAAAACCAAACGTCAAATCACAATGGAAATTCAAAGTGGTAAAAAACCCATCAAAATGTAGTTAATTTTACTGGAACATTAAAATCATAGTTTGCCAAAAATTTCCGTTTAATCATGAAGAAAAACAATCGTTTGTGGATTTTGCTTTGCCTGTTACTACAAGTTGCCAGCGCCCTAGCTTGTAAAAAAAAGTCGTCGTGTCGGCCGCCGCGTTGTCCCGGGGGTTGCAAGCCGAAATATTGGTGATTATAAACGAAAAATTTATTTACGAGATAATAAATAGTGAGTATAGTAACAGTTGACAGTAACTGATATTAGTTAGTGGAAGCGCCTCATGGAGTTATTTAGCATGATGGAGACAAGCTATGAACAGCTTTCGGACAGGCGTTAATTTGGCGGTGAAATTGTTGAAATACTTTATATGAACGCAATATCTGTCTACTATAATATGACTTCACATTTTCCGAAATGCTTCAAGAATAAAAATGAACGCAATATTTGTCTACAACAATTTATATGATTTCACATTTCCTGAAATGCATCAAGAATAAGAATGACAGAAGATCCACACAGCCGAAAAACTCAAAATTAATGGATCAATTTGTCTCGGTCAAACCCGGTTCCCGTTCAACCCAAATTCATGACAATGTTATAAATTAGGTGAGATACCTAAAATGAAATAACCTATTACAGATGGCGTCCTCCACTCTTAATCTGTGGTGGTGGTTGGCGTGGCTGTTGTTGAGAACAATTGAAGTGAGCTGCTGTAAAAAGAAGACAATATGTCGTCCGCCTCCTGGTGGTAAAGCCGGTTGTGGAGGACGGGGCAAATAATGACTACACTAAACTCTACGCGGTAGGTCTGTAACAACATTAATAGTTGTTAAATGAGTTTATTTTAAGAGACAAAACGAGAGGTCTAAACCCAATCGTTCGCATGTACCTACGTAAAAATATACACTGTTATGAGGAAATGTGTATTCCGAGAAATTTGAAGTTGCTTACGACATTTGACGTCCACGACGCCGTCATGCGTCATTTCGTTTTTTATGCGGATTTCATGCGGGTTTTATTAGGATAAATGGATAAAAAAAACCCACATTAAATTGTTCAGTATTTTCAATTAATTTATTTCACGGTTATAATTTTTGTTTTTCCAGATGTTAGCATTATATGGTCACCGATTATACACATATGAAACCGCTACATAACAATTTCAATTATAATAATAATTAATTATGTAATTTAAATTTAAAAATATTTAATAAATTTTTACTGGTGGTAGGACCTCTTGTGAGTCCGCGCGGGTAGGTACCATCACCCTGCCTATTTCAGCCGTGAAGCATTAATGCGTTTCGGTTTGAAGGGTGGTGCAGCCGTTGTAACTATACTTGAGACCTTAGAACTTGTATCTCAAGGTGGGTCGCGCATTTACGTTGATGTCTATGGGCTCCAGTAACCACTCAACACCAGGTGGGCTGTGAGCTTGTCCACCCATTTAAGCAATAAATCTCAGTGGGTCGCGTTTCCGATCTGGTGGTAGATTCTACGAAGTACTGCTATTGCTAGGGCCAGTGTTAGCAACACTCCGGTTTGAGCCCCGTGAACTCACCTACATGTTAGGGCGAAGCTGCAATAGCCTCTCAAGGCTATCAGCATAGGTAGGGAGAAAAAAAAAACTTCTTATATAACAAAGACAAGTTTCAAAGGCATCAGCTGAATGGTTTAGGGATTGAAAGCATAGTTTTTTTGGTCGTTTTGTTTAGGTTTATAAACGGTGATAAATAGCTCGACGCAACACTTTTTCTGCAGTGGGGTCTAAATTCAGAGACAGGGAATGAGGAGTAAAGGTCAAGATTCACATTGACAGTGTAAAATTTGAGCCCTTGTGAATGCCCCGGCCCCTTTATTTTTTTTTTAAGACGACCATACGGCCCACGTGGTGGTAACTGGTTACCGTCCCTCATGGCAGAGCCAAGTCGCTGCCTACCATTAAATTAATTTGAATGCCTGATTATATGACAGCTGCAATAGAGGTTGGCACTATATTGCACACCACCGGCACACATTATTATTAATGTTATTCTTGTACTTACAGATATTATTACATAAAATGAAGATTTTTTTAAATCATTTAAAGTGAGGAAATAATATTTGTAAAATGTATTAAATGAAACAAAAATATGTATTTTTTGTTTTTTATTTTATCTTATAAAATAGTTGTTTGACGAACGAGATGTTAATAGTTTCTGAAACAAAAAAAGTGTCAAATTAATTCAATGCATCTTAAGGTTTATGTTAACGATCCCTACATAGCACACATTATTGTATTTTATTATTTATATTGAATATATAAGTATTAAAAAGGTGATTTTTAAAAATAGGGCTAGTAAAATTATGTCACTTGGATATAAAAGGAACATAATGCTGCAAAATGGCAGAATATTCTATTTGATGATGATAATTGCTTGTAGAATTTTGAAATAATTCTTACTGAAGTTCCAGAATGGGAATTGACACAAGATTTTGTAAATACATAAGTTTATTTAAAAAAAAACCTTTTCCCAGCTAATGCTAAGACATTATCTACAGAATTGTCCGCAGAGTTTGATGAGGACAGTGACCAGTGTTTGAAGGGCCTAAAAGCACTGAAAGTGGGAGATCCGACAAACATGTTTGGAGCGATGGCAGCTTTGCATTGCCCCATTGTGGTTGGATAAAACCACAGTGATCAGTCTTTGCTTAATCATAATAAAGAAAAATAGAATTCCATTCATTTGAAACTTTAAGCACTTCAAAAATAATTAAAATACTCACTTAGCCAGTATACCATCTTTCTTTGTTAACCTCACGATGCAATCATCAGACTCTCCCATCCTTCGGATAGCCCCACAGACAACATACATTTTAGATGTGTCAGCAGCACGACCTGTGGCGGGGTCTACGTCAGCAATCACTAGCTGCACTGAAGCATGGTCCTTAGCGTGGATGAGGCGGTTGCTGGCCGAGCTGTAGTTTAAAGTAGACATTTAGCTTCTGCATTACGTGTTAAGTGTAAATAGATTTTTTATTTCTAATGTCTTGTTTAAAGTTTTTGTATTACATGGGTTTGCTCCTATTGCAAAATTTAAGATATTATTATTATTATTATTTTTTTGTACAATTTTATATACTAGTGGTCCCACAGTAGTCGAAATTCGACTATAATTAATTGAAATTATAACTTTCAACATTATTACGGTCCTATTGTTACAGATTTCGCCAAGACTACACTATATACAAGTACTTGTAATATTAAAGATAAACAATACTAACCTATTCTCAATTTGACTACAGACTTTAAGCAATAACAAAAGTTTGACAATAAACAAAGAGTATATTATGTGTGTGTGTGTCAAATACATGGTAGTGTGTGTAATGTTTTCTTTATTGATTTGATGTATCTTT